AAACTTCTCGATGTGCACCAATTTGTCGATTGGAGCTACGAAACTCACATGTAGACAAGACTTCGTGGAGAGCTGATATGGATTTTCCCCGTCTCGTTGACACACAAATTCAAACGGCCAAATAGGACAACTGGTCTCCCAAACGCGGCGTCACTCGCCGCGCCCATCAATGCTTCATACGATTGTCATGTTACATACCTAGGAAGTACTCTGCTAGTGCACGCGATGACTCGACCAGGAAATAACGCTCCACACCTAAGGGCTAGTGTAAGGCCTCAGGACAACATTACGACTTGTGTCGGTGTATTATAAAAATCCAGAACATTTCACAAGTACAGGATAAGGTCCTGTGCTCATATTACACTGTGTGTACACTGGAAATCAGAAGAAAATTTTTTAATAGAAATATTCAAGTAACAGATCATCAACACAAGAAAATCACAATAGGGAGGAATACAGACATACAATGATATACACAGATACATAGAACTCAATTTACTCCAATCAATAATCATTCCTTTCCTCGGTATCGCTGCCATCCTTGTCTTTTTGCTTCCCGTGCTTCGTCATTAACCGCGACGAGGAACACCTTAAAATGAACTGGAGATTTTCATTTGATTCGCTCAGATACAGGGCTGTGTGTCGCTAGGTCAGACTGTACCCCGCGCAAAATCGTCGCTTGTAACGCGCGGCAACTTCGCGCGAAAACTGTTCTGTCCGGAAATCGTAGCGAGATTCTTCGCGACCAGATTCCGCGACGCGCGGCTCAAAATTCAGGGGACGGCATCAATGGGAAGATCACTTCCAGGTCGCACTTGGTCGCTAGAAGAGGTCGCATGTGGTCGACGGGGGTCGTATCTGGGCTCTGAGAGTTTTTGCCGGCCGCAGAAAAAATCTTTCCTATTCTAATAATAATCTAGCAATTGTCTAATAAAAATCTCATGCCTTCTATTCTATAAAGCAGTAACTTGTGCTGTGTCGTCTTGTATGTTTGTAGGTAATGTATGTCTGTCGTCCGCCCAATACAATCACTGGGTTCGAGTTCGCTTGGAGGCGAAAAACGACCGACTAAGGCAAACCGGTAACGATTGAGAGCCGATGTAGGCAATCAATGATTTGATTTGGATAAACAGCCTCCGCCCCTATATAAGACTAACCATGTCGGTATCACTTCGAGCCATTGCACGAAGCTAGCTGGGCCGTGGCAGCTGGACGTGTGCTCGTGCGGGGGCAGGGTGGGGGTGCCCAGTCACCCTGCCTCCCTCTCCTGCACGTGCTCAGCCGGAGCTGGGCACATGTATGGGAGGGAGGCAGAGCGAAGGGGTAGCGGGGAGGGGGGCACACAGTGAGGGCGTGAGCGTAGCGCGCGTTTCACGTAGCAACGCGCCACTCAAGGCGGAAGCAGGAAACGAACCGCTAGCAAAAGTGGCAAGCCCATTCTATGTTACCGTAACGAACCAAGAAGTTGTTTTGGATGTGATAACACTCTCCACGATATAAGAAAACCACTACACTCCGAGCCATTGCACGGGTTGCTCGCGAGGCCAGTTGGACGTAAGTGCGTGCAAGGAGCAAGGTGGGGGAGGGATGGAGTGGCGAGTACGGAATGGGGTGAGGTGAGGAAGGTGGGAGTTAGTATCGAGTGACCCCCTTCTCCCATCCTCACTCCCTTGCGCGTACTCAGTCGGATCTGAGCCCATGCAGGGGAAGGCAAGCATGGATTGAATCGGGCAAACTGGGTACACAGTAAGGGGATCCGTAGCGTTCGCATGAATAGGAGCAGGCGGCAAGAGAGAAGGAAACAACCTGCTGCGCAAAAACTTCCAAGTAGTCATGCTTACAGCACGAAACTAAGAACGGTTGTTTTATTCTGAATTGCGCTCTCGCTGTCTTAACCTACCAGCTTTGATAGAGCTCTCGATCTGCAGGAGCTGTTTCTGGAGCTCCTATGGGCACGGGCCAGAACAGTGGGACAGGCGTATAGTGTCCTATGTTGGCACCAGCTGCCCACAGTGCGGCTGCATAACCACGTGCGGGAGTGGGCGACGGTTAAATAGGGTCAGTGGGATATGATGTGGTGAAGGGGTACCAGATGAGGCGATTTCGCGAATAGGAGCACATAGCGCCTGCGGCGGTAAGGCGTCTACGGTTGCCATAAGATGAGAAGAAAAGGGATCGACCGCAGACGCAGAGAGAGTCGAGGGAGTTGACGCGCCGCAGCGCCGCTACATCGAGCGGATTGGGTCCCAGTGCGAATGTTGCCTGAGTCACCCCATCCTGCAATGCCTGTTTAGTCGCACTCGCGCAGCTTGAAATAATGCTCTAGACTCCTAACCTTCTTTTGAAACGATCCATGAATAAGCAGTTGCGTGGTTTATCGTCTCCCGGGTAGTACCGCTTCCTATCGTTAGTGAAAAATTTTGCAAAATACAACCCTCCCCCTGCCTCCACCGGCCAAATACGACCCCTCAATGTCAGTTCCCAACGAATGTCCTGCCTTGTTTTGGGCCACCCCCAGTGCTGGCTTATACTTTTCAAGTCAACAGCCAAAAATATTTTTCTCAGCACCAAGAACGACCCTCTCTCTCCACCGACCTAATTCGTCCCTCCCTCCGGGGATACCAACATATGACGTGACCTGTGTATAACAAAAAAAAGCTCAACCTGGGCGTTCTTATTCATCTTGGCAAGAACTATGGGCATGTAGCAGCTTTTCTTACCATTTTAATAATGCGAAAAAAATCAAATAATCAGTGTTGTGGTGAACAGTGCCGGGCACAGGGTGCAAGGTTCGAAGGTCAAACATGGGGTCGAAACCCGGTCAGGACGCCCTGAGCCTTCATCCCAATTAATCACTTGTTTGGCCCTGGGCAGGTGCTACATCCTTCGAGTCTTCCAATCAATCTTTAATCGATCACCTTTCCCACAGAAATTTGAGCTAACAGTATTTTATGCAACTTTCGGAGAAATCCTCAAATAAATGATCATCGATAATCAGACACATTATCGAATTGACCGTACATCTCATAACAGCATTTCACCAATTTTAAAACGCTTTGCTCAGTTCTGCAAGAGGTAAGGGTTTGCCAATATCATTTTTTCTATCGTGAAGGTCCCTAAAAACTCCCTCCCAACTTTAGCCCTCATACTTGAATTCAACGCGGGTTCGGAACGGATAAGTCCGCCCATCAACACTGCTGTCGTCAGAATCAGAGATGTAGCATTTGCAAACTTCAACCGCCTACAATCTTCATCACAAATATTGCTCTAGTGAAGCCAAAGAGGTCAGCGAACTCATTCATTGGCGCTGTTCACTCCTTACTGCTCCGCTCTTCGAAAATCAGGCCACATTTTTAACGAATTTTTTCTCCGAGAGCAAATTTGGGTTCAGTTTTGTCCACAGGGGTCCTTTGACCCACCGGACACGAGTATCGCACGCCGTTTTACGTTGAAAAGCTGCCTAGTGCCTGCGCAAAAGCGCTACCCGGACGTATTTTCCTTGAAAATGCCCGGTAAGCGCCAGACCCAGTTTCGTGCCAAGCGACATGCTAATGCGGCAGAGAACATGGGACTACGAGCTAGGCTTTCGCGGCGTTCAGACCTCGGCGATGGCAGCGCCCCAGCGCGCGTTTGATCGTTGGCGCATCGGTTTCGAGTGCGATCGAACGGCGACGGAAAGCGCTGCCGTCGCGACCCGCTGCTGGACGCTGCCTTCCCGAGTGTTTTTAGGGGGTCATTCTTCCGTGGCCAGCAAGTTTTTCAGCGAACTCCGGAAACACCAAGGTGGTTTTGGCAGTCCTAGTACCATAGTACCTATACACAGAAAATTCATAAAACTCATGAAGTGAACCACGTAACTCCTAGACAGAAATACGACCCCCCCCCCCCTCCCAACAA